CCCCCCCCGCCAGGGATGCCCTCTAGCCAGACGAGACTCGGACTAGAATGAACACCATAAGATGAACCCCCAACCTTCCCCAAGACTCTCCGTCAAATTATTTACAACCTATTTGCACAGATAGATTAGATTAGCAATCCCAAGAACGATTCGAGCCGCCAAAAAATGAACTGAGCAAAATGCGCCAGCCCAGGGGGCGATATTCCTTTCTGGCTCGCTGGAACCGGAAATGCGCCGAGTGCTGCTGGAGGGGCTGCTGGGGGGAGGTGTTCCTGGAAACCGCAACCATGGAACCCAGCAAACGCAAATGACCCCGGACACAAATCTGGACATGGGATGATGATGGCCGAAACAATAAATTTGACTTTGGCGGTCCACGTGACAAATGTCGATCGCTGGTGTAAGAGCGTTATGGATCACATTCAGTCTGCAGTCCGCTTTCGCTTCTTCACAGAAACGGCCGTAACCTGTTCGGTTGCGTCAAGTGATCTTCAGCACAGCCTCCGAATAAACAGCCGCTCTCTTCGAAGTGACCGTACAAATATCCCGAAACCATACACAAAGGAAATTAAACCCACCCACATTTCTTCCAACGCCTCTTACCCCTTTCTGTTATCTACAAACGCCTATTAGAGGTTGTGATTTCCTTCCTTATATAGGTAGAGTGTTACCTCCAAGCAAATGAATAGGGTGGATGAACAGGGCGAGGGTATTGTACAAGAAGAGGGACTGTGTGATTAGTGATAAAAATGGGGCTAGTTGTCTTTAACAATAACGTCAATATTGTAATGTGGAGGATTGTCACCCCAAGCATCCACTAATGACAGCGGGTCAATCATAACCCTGAGATTAGAAGGAGTGGGTGGGGAGGGTAGTGTTTGGGGTAGTGTTTGGTAGGCAACTATAATTGTTCGCTGGGGGGGCAGGTTACTTGTCGTTGTAACGAAACTCCATTTGAGTATATCCGGTTGCCTCTCGCAGCTGACGCTTCACCTTAGCAACCTCCGTTCCCTGCACAAGCTGGCAAACACAGGCAGTTGAGAGTGCAGGTAGTTGAGAGTGCAGGTAGTTGAGAGTGCACATAGTTGACTGTGCGGGTAGTTGACTGTGCAGGTAGTTGACTGAGCAGGTGGTTGACTGGTGGTTACTTTAAGAGTTAAAGTTTGGAGTGGACGCCGATCTGAGTCCACCAGGTTGAAGTTCACGTTGACGTTGCTGCCTTCGATGATAACTTTGTCCTTCTGCTTGGCGTCCGTATCAACGGGGGGCGGGGGTACAATGAGCGAATTTGATCTAGTTTCCATAGCAAAAATTACGTGGCTACAAAATCCGCCTGTAGTCACTGAACAAACCACAAGCCTCAAGCATGGACTCGGCGCGATTTGGACCAACTGGGGAGGAATTATCCTAAATCGAAAAGACCTTGAACCTGGCCACAAGCATGGACTACACAATCGCTTGAGGCATTAGGTCAAGACATGCCGAGAGGCGCCCAGTTCCGCATTTGAGAGAGCGCACTCGGCTGGTTCGGATCGGTCGGCACGATCCGCGGGGAGAGAATATATGTGGGCACTGGGGGAGTGGCAACCTGAACCGGTATGTTGAGTGTGAAGCTCAACGGGCTGGTGCTGCCGTAAGTAAAGGCAGGCGTGCGCAGGCCTGGCTGAGTCTGCGGGAGGCCCTGTCGTAACAGTCCGTGCGGTGGCGGCAATTCGGTCCTGTGCGGATCATTCCTGAAGGACTCGGTTCCGAGCATCACCCGACCGGTCGGAGCTGGACCGAGTTGCCGCCCGGTACGTAGAACCGTCAAGTTGTTCGGGTAGGATAAGGCTTTCGCACCCAAGCTTGGCTGCCCAGCAATCGGTTGACCAGTAATAGGTTGACCAGTAATAGGTTGACCAGTAATCGGTTGGGCATCAATGGGTTGCGCGGGGGTCATCGAAGGGGCAGCGATCGGAAGGGCAGTCATCGCACAAGCGGTCATCGAATGGGCGGTCATCGGAGTGGTCGTGGTGTGTTGGAAATTGAAGCCGGTTGGCGGCACTCCAGCGGGTGGCACTCCGGTGGGAGCGGCGAAGGAGTCGGAGAGGCTGTCATGAGAGCGGGGCGAATTGCTCTGGGCTAAGCTGGGGAAGAGCGACGGTAATGAGGTCGAGGACGGCAAATACCTGGGTGGCTCGGCTACTGCGGTTGGCGACCGCAGCGCCGCTTCCACCGTGTCGCCCAACGGCTGACTCCCAGCCGCCAAGTTTCCCTCTGGCCGGTACGGCAGCGCCGCTTTCGAAGGCCCACGGTCCTCCAGCGGCCCCGCACCCACCAGCGTCGGCGACAGCGCCCCCAACGGCCGGCCCGGTGGGCCCTCGAACTCGCCATTCCTCGCTTCAGGTCTCTGGCCTTGCCTTGGGTTTTGCCTTGGGTCCTGCCTTAAGTTTTGCCTTAGGTCTTGCCTTAGGTCTTGCCTTAGGTCTTGCCTTAGGTCTTGCCTTAGGTCTTGCCTTAGGTCTTGCCTTAGGTCTTGCCTTAGGTCTTGCCTTAGGTCTTGCCTTAGGTCTTGCCTTAGGTCTTGCTGCTGGGCCGCTGGAAGTGCGCGTCTGGTGTGTCCAGTGTACGGCGAAGGAGCATCCTCCTGCAGACACGTCCCAAGGGGTGCAGCAGGCAGGTGTGTAGCTCCTCTCTCAGCAAGTCCTGGTCCAGTGGGTCCCGGTCCAGCAGGCCCTAGCCCAGTAGGTGGCCCGGACAGCAATCCAGTGGGCGTGCTGGAGTTGACCCAGGACCTCCCGGTGTCTGTGGTGTTGGGAGGGGGCTGTCTTTGCGAGACGGGTCCTGATCGGGCCGGTCCTGGTCGGGCCGTAGGAATGAGAGTGGCGTTTTTAGCCAGCGAGTAGGCGTCGTCATCTGTCACGATGGAGACCGAATCGGAAGAGGCCGATGAGTTGTAGGGGAGTCCCCCAGCAGCGGCGGGCAGAGCACCAGGGTGTTCACGGTCTTGGAGCTGATCGCGTCCCGAAGGAGAAGGCACCAGCGCAGTTGAGGCGGGTACCCGGGCGGAGAGTGCCGGCTGGGTCGCCGGGCTCTGCGCAATGGGGGTGGTAGCATGTGGCGAGATGGGTCGTGATGTATTCGGTACGCGGTGGGACAGGAGCCCGTCGAGCGGCATCGGGCTAGCGGAGGGCGACCGGGTGGTGGCGGGCGTCGACGGCGGCAGCGCTCCGGTCGAGGCCATTACGCGGTGTGTAGCAAACGCCGGCTGGCCCATCCCGAGATTCGAACCGTTCTTCTGATCGTCGAATTTCGCGCTCCCGTTGAGTTGCGTGCTCCCGTTGAGTTGCGTGCTCCCGTTGAGTTGCGCTCCGTTGTACTGCAGCCCGCTGTATTGCGGCCGTGGAGAGGGTTGGACCGGGGATGTTAGAACGGGGGAGGTCTGGATGGGAGAGGCCTGGACCGAGGAGGTGGTCTGGACCGGGGAGGTCTGGATCCGTGCGGGCCTGGCGGCGTTGTCGGTGTCGTCGCGACCAGGATGTCGCCGGGGCATGTCCTCTTCGGGCCAGGGGCTAGAGAGCAGTGATGTGCGGGCAATTCCGGCTCTCATGAAGGGGTTGACGGGATCTCCCAGCCGATCCTTGAGCACTTTCAAGCTGCGACGGTTCATGCTGTTCGGGTGCCATAGCCTGTCGGTGGAGAAACCGGCCTCGCCCGAAGTCTGGAACGATGCAGGTGTCGCCTCGCGACGTAGGCCGCACACAACACCCGGCCCTCGCGCCAGTCCGTCGCCACCCGGCCGCTGCAGGCTCGCAGACCGTGTCTCGGCGGCTCGCAGTTCTGTCGACCGAGCCTCTGTCGACCGGAGTTCCGTTGACCGCGGCCCGGTGGAGCGAGGACCGGTGGAGCGAGGGCCTGTGGAGCGAGGACCGGTGGAGCGAGGACCGACGGACCGAGTCATGCTGCGAGAGCCAGTCTCCTGGGTGTCCATGCGGCCCCTTCCGAGTTCCGTTTTTCCGTGTTCGCCTCTGCCGTCGGTCCGGGGGCGGGTTGGGTCGCCACGCTCCATGGAGCCCTGCGTGAGCCGGTCGGGGGTGCGGCTGTCGATAGTAAGCCGGTGCTGGTCGGCGGTTCGCAAGGTATCACGGGCGGGTGATTCGGCTCGTCGTTTGCTCAGTTTTTTGCTCCCGGCGCGCGACTTACTCTGCGCTTGCGACTCCGTCCGGGTGTGTCTTGCGCCAGAGGCCGTCCTTGAACAGCTATCTCGCCGCCCGTTGTGAACGGCTGCCTCACTCCCTACGTCACTGATTACGTGACCTATCGCCGCCTGCTCCGACGACTTGGTCCTGTTCGCCAAAATCCGCGGCTCCGCAAACGTTCGATAAATCGCTATCAATGCCCGCCCCACAGCCGTGTCGGACACCTGGCTAGGCAAGTCCCGGATGTAACTCGGTATCTGCTTACCCGGTATAATGAAATCCAAAGCTTCCTGAGTAAAGTGGTTACAGTTATGTCGGATTATGTCGTAGTTCTCCTCTGTATACTTGTCGTAAATCGAACACATGAACCTACTCGCGGACATGTGTCATTGTGAAGATAAACATAGTGAACTGCATACTCGTCAATTTCTTGCATATCCCTCGTGGTTGTTCCCAACTTCCGGACCGATACTGGTGCTGCTCCCACGGCCTCTTCCGCTTCGCCGAACCGCATTTTAAGTACGCATCGTCCATACGTATATTCCCATTGATGAACCCGGATGCCTGTGTGCCACAGTCCGTTAATGGGCTCCTTGAGCATCAGAAGAGATGACAACGATTTGGCTCTAAGGAAACGGCAGTCGCGTCATGTGCTGGCGCCATGTGCTAGAGCCATGTGCTGGCGCCGTGTGCGATCAACATCGTTGCCCGTTGGGTCTGATACGTTCCCGATACTCTTGGAGTGGTTGTGTGGGAGACATGTTACCTGCCGCGCGACAGATCATAAACCGCCAGGTAGACCTCGGATTCCATTTATTAATTTTGGGAAGATGTGTTTCGTAACTCCCGAATCGTATGGACCAACTCCTCCGTTCGAATTTGAACACGTTGATTTGACATTCTACCTTGATGAGACGAACACTAAGGTGGTGTCCAAACTGACGGTGAAGCCGAAAGAGTCGAAGGATCTGTGTTTGAACGGTGAGGAGTTGAAGCTGGAGAGCGTAGAATTGGACGGTCAGAAGCTGGAGGCGGGTGGTAAGGACTTTGAAGAGAAGGAGGGGCTGTTGATTGTGAAGAAGGACAGCTGGGGGGGCAAGGAAAAGTTTGTACTGCAGTTCACCAATTTTGTTAATCCGACGGCGAATACTGCCCTGATGGGTTTGTACAAGTCGGCCAACCTGTTGTGTACGCAGTGTGAAGCGGAAGGTTTCCGAAGGATCACATATTTCATCGATAGACCGGATGTGATGAGCAAGTACAAGGTTACTTTGGTGGGTGATAAGGCAAGGTATCCCGTCATGCTTTCGAATGGCAACCTAATCAAATCTGAGGACCAGGGATCGAATCATGTGTGTGTTTACGAAGACCCGTCGAAGAAGCCGTGCTACCTCTTTGCTGTAGTGGCAGGGCCGTTGGGTGTGTTGGAGGACACGTTTAAAAACCCGTCGGACGGTCCTGACCCTAATCGGGAGATTAAGCTGTATTGTTACGCGGAAGAGAAGTACCTGGCGCGCTGCAAGTGGGCGTTGGAATGCGTGAAGAAGGCGATGTTCTGGGACTACACAGTGTGGCACCGTCCGTACGACCTGGACCGGTTCTCGATCATCTGTATTGAAGATTTCAATGTCGGTGCTATGGAGAACAAGTCATTAACCACCTACAACATCTCCTGCATTCTCGGCTGCAAGGACACTGCCACTGACGGAAGACTGCAACGTATCTCCGCCGTGATTGGTCACGAGTATTTCCACAACTGGTCTGGTAACCGAGTTACGGTTGAGTCGTGGTTCAATGTCACGCTGAAGGAGGGCTTGACCAACTTCCGCGAACAGGAGTTCCAGCGCTGGGCATGGAACGAAGGTGTGCAACGCATCGAGGCCGTCCGCGCGCTACGCGCTCTTCAGTTCCCAGAAGATGCAGGCCCTCTATCACATCCGGTGTGCCCACCCAAGTACAAGAGCATCGACAATTTCTACACCATGACCATTTATGAAAAGGGTTCGGAGGTCATCAACATGCTCGAGCACCTTGTCGGCAAAGCCAACTTCCGCAAGGGAACTGACCACTACTTCACCAAATACGATGGTTGCGCCGTAAACTACCATGATTTTGCTTCAGCCATCTTCGACGCCTCCGGGTGGAAGAAGGAAGACTACGACCAGTTCTTCCTTTGGTACCACCAAAAGGGAACTCCCAGACTTGTCGTGGAGGTACTGGAGGTGGAGGACAGCGCCATCACCGTAAAGGTTACCCAGAAACTGCCCGCCCATGCCGGCGCCGAAGGACAGGAGGCGAAGGCGTATATGATGCCTTTCACCGTGGGCGTTATTGACCGGGAGTCTAAGAAGGAGGCCGTTCCGACACAGAAGTTCAAGCTTACCGAGTTCGAGACGACCCTTAAGATCGACGGCAGTGCGGGCGACAAGCCTCAAAAGGTGACTGGGCTGAAGAAGGGGGGCTTCGCACTCTCCGTCAATCGCGAATTCAGCGCTCCAGTCATCGTAGAAGGCCTAGAATGCCCCGAAGACCTGAGTCTGCTGCTCGGCTATGACACGGACAGCTTCAATCGCTGGGATGCCGCGCAGGTGTTGTACAAGCGCGCCATTATGCAGAAGTTCGCCGATAAAAACACGGCTCCTGGCGAGCTCGACTCTTACATAAAGAACGGCATCCAGGGTCTGCTAGCGGAGAACGAGCGAGTGGGCGGCAAGAACAACGGATTCTTAGCATTTTGCCTGGGGCTGCCGCTGGCGGCTGCGTTGGAGGCGACGATGGAGCAGTCGGACCCGGTGTTGCTGAGCAAATGCACGCACGCGCTGCGAAAGGAGATTGCGGCTACCTTCAAGAAAGAGTTCACGGAACGCTTCAACAAGCTGTGGAACGAGGGCAAGGATGAGGGGCACTGGGAGATCACGGAGGAGGCGTGTAGTAAGAGGCAGTTGCGGAACGCGTGCTTAAGCTATATTTCGATGATCGATGAACACACAAGCGACGAAGACGTTAAGGCCACCAAAGAGCGCATAACTGCCTACGAGGCCAAGTGCCAGACCTACAATGACCGACAGGCGGTGTACAACATTCAAATGGGATGGTCCAAAAGGATGGCGTCCGAAAAAGATGCCGCCATCGACAAGTTCTACAAACATGTCGAGCACGACGAAAACCTACTCGATGACTGGTTCGCCGGAATCACCTGCAGTCCCGCCGATGACACCCTCCAACGCGCTGAGAAACTTCGTCAACATCCACGATACGCAGAGTCCACCAATCCCAACCGTTTCCGCGCTGTAACTCGTGCCTTCAGCAACAACCTTCGCATCTTTCATGATGAGTCCGGCAAGGGTTACGAATTCGTTGCACAAGAGGTCGCCCGTTTTGACAAAATAAACGGATCTGTCGCCGCAGTCTGCGCCAAGCAGCTTGTCAACTACAACAAGTACAGCCCCGAACGACAGACCCAAATGAAGGCTCAAGTCGACTGGCTCGCCTCACAAACCCTCTCTAAAAGCACTCAGGAAATCGTCAGCTGTCATAAGTAAGCTGTCAGGCTTTTTTTACAACAACCTCACGACTGACCAGCAGGCTACACACACGGTCTGCACCAGCAGGCTATGCCCAACGGATTCTTTCGCCCACCAGGACTCTTTGCCCACCAGGACTCTTTGGCGGCAAAAACTAGTGGTCTTTGCTTAAGGGCTTTGCAATCGGCGATCTGTATCAGATTGATGTGCGAAAAACAGCGCGCTCCAGCTGGGCCGAACCGGGAGCCGAATCCGGTGAAGAAGGCGGGGGTGTGGCTGGCTATCGAGAGCTAACTATTGAGAGCTAATCAGAGGGGGATGAGCCATTATGTTTCGCGAATATGACGGACGCGCGCCGAAGCGTTCTCTCCCATCGGATATGAAAACGTTATACGCGTGCCCACGAATCACGGGAAAACGCGTTCGCAAAGCGGGTTATCGCGCGCTGTATTGAGTTACTGAAACGAGGGTGAATATCGCAAAGGTCTGTGTACACTGCATATATGCTGGGGTGCATCGCTTACGTCGACGACTTCTCTTTTTGTTCAAGATTCGGCTGCCGCACTGGCGGCAACGGACTATGGCGGTGGTCTGGAGCGTGGTCGTGGCGCCACAATCGGCACAGATATAGCTCACAACGTCGGTGCGTGGTTTGTCGTCCATCAAAATAAAATAGACCCGGCCCAATAGAGAGGCCCTACCCCGTCCACAGCACCCCCACACAAAAAGCGGCCCACTCGCAAACCCAGCGAACCGGATGGCGAGTCCATCCCAGCCGGGAGTGGGTTACCCGATGGCGCACGAATACAAGACCGCGACATCAACGCTTTTGGAGGCACTTGTAGCTGGAGCAGAGCGTATCATTTGGACGCGTCCCTCCCTGCTTCCGACCAAGAGCCGTCACGTTTCGTCCTGATACGCCAGCTCCAGCCTCATATGCCGGCATATAACATGTGGTCATCTTTCGCAAAAAGCACCTCAGCAGTGGACCTTTCATGGCCTTGTGCATCTCATCTCCTTCGTCGTCGGACCAACACGAACCAGCGGATGCCGCTGTAAAAGACAGGCGTCACGCTGGCGGATGACCCCGTCACAATAGCGAAGCGTTTCGCACCTCATCCAACATACGGACACAGCGACCTACTCGAAAAATTATCCATCTCACATGCTCATTATATTACCACGCACGCTTCCCCGGCCGCGCTGCGGAAGAATCGGACCTTGGCTCATCACTCGCGGTCGGGGTAGTTCCTCTGTGCCGTCGTGCTTCGGTGGTTGGTGCTGCCATGGTAAGTGCTAACTTCGGTTTACTCAAAAAGCGTTTGGCGCACGTGGACACGACAAGAGACGATACTCGCCTACGACT